GGCTGGCTCAAAACAGGACTGAGGGCCAAGCAGTTTTCCTGCACAGACAAGACCAGAAGAGCCATCTGGCGAGGCCATTGCTGGCAGGAGCCAGTCCTGCTGCTCCCTTGCAACTGCTGCCATCTTGTCCAACATGATCCTCCCTGTGTGTGCCCTGCACAGGAGCCAGCACCTGCCAAACTTGCCTTCCTGCCCCCACCGCACCCCCAGCAGGGGGGATGCACAGCCTTTCTCTCAGGACCCTTTCACAGCATGATGTGCACACTGCAAGGCATGCAGCTGGCGAGCAGGGGCTCAGGGGCTCCGGTTTTAGGAGAGCACTGCTGGCAGCATGCCCTGCTCCTGCCCAGCATCCAACCCCAGAATTTTTGCTGCTAATGTGAGGAAGTTTGGGCTGGCCTGGTCATGGCATTGAGAGAGTGGTGACACATCCTATGACTGTGGGAGGGCTGTGTGCCTGTGACTCCTGCACTCAGACTCTTATGGGGGCTGTCGAGGTGTGTGTCGGTGGCTCTTTGTGGGGACATTCCTTTGAGCCTGCCCCTGCTGAGGCAACCACAGCAAGATGAACATCATTACCAGCACCTTGACTAGTGCAGCATCACTGGTCAGTGGCATAAAACAGGTATTTGGGCTTTGTGGTGGGAAGCACCCACATGTGGTGCCAAGAGGCCTCTGCAAGCTGAGAATTGTCGTTCATAATAGAACTGTGCTCCTCACTACCACTGGCAGGAGTTTCCAGAGCACTCTCAGCATAGAAGGGATGGCTTGTGAATGCGGAGACGTCGCCAGGGCTGGAGGCAATGCTGCCGGCAGCTCCCTGCGCTTTGCCCCAAGGCTGGAGGCCGCTCTCCCCAAAAGGGCTCAGCAGAAGTGACTGGGCTGCCACTGCCAGAGAGGACAGGGCAGTGGCCGGTGGTGAGGCAGGAGGTGTGCGGGGGGATGACCGGGCTGGGCTGCTGCGGGACAGTGACCTCTGGCGCGAGAGGGGCGACAAGGGCAGGACACAGCGCGGACGGGTTAGACCAGCGGCAGACAGGTTCACTTTCCTTTTGCACACCCCGTCTGCTGCTGCTCCTGCCTGACGGGCGAACTGCGACTGCAGTATCTGCAGCTTGCCGAGTAAAAGTTCTTCCTCGAGCTGTTGATTACGGTTAATTAGCATTAATTTTTCCTTAAGTGGATCCTAGTCGCGCTCGTTTTCTCTAGAGTTGCGACTCCTCCGGTCCCCCGGTGCCCTGGGCCCGTGGTGGGTGGGCGGGCGGGCGCGGAAAGGAGGGAGGGGGCGGCCGGGGCGGCGGCGCCATCTTGTGGGCGAGGGCGCGGGTCGGCGGGAGCGGCCGCCTCCCCTCCGTGCCCGCCCCGCCACCGCCGTACGGCCCGGCCGGGCTCGGTGTGCGCGGCTGGGCCTCCCGCAGGGGGCGGGGGAGCTGCCCGGGGGAGAGAGATTTAACCCCCTGGAGCGGGCGGAGCTAACGTGGCCCGCTCCGCCCTGGCCTCGCATCAGCCCCAGGCCCGGCCAGGTAGATGTTCTTCTGGAAAGCGTCATCCTGAGTAGGCAAAGGTCTCCCGCCAGGTGAATTCCCGCTGGCCACAGCTTGTCATACAAGGAGCCTATGAGGGAGAACGGGTGGGAGCACCGCGAGGCTGCGGTACGGTCCTGATAGTGCGTCAGGCCTGTGGTGGTAACTTAGTTCCTAGGAATCTTTTCAGCAGGTGAGCAGAGAAAAAGCAGAAGTGGATGATTTCTAAGGCAGACTTGTTTTGCTGGTAAAAGGGAATTAGAGAGCTGTCCCTCCCTTCCCCATGGTGGTGTCAACACCTCTAATTTTCTGTTTTCCTATCAATTCACTGATCATTCTCTTCCCTAGAGCATTTCAGTGGGTAGAAACATATCGAGGGCATTGGCAGCTTTTATCTCATCGTCATCCAGCCCTGCTGAGAGGCACTCGACACACAACAGTGGTAAAAATGCTGGCACAGGTATGGCACTTCTCACACTGGCTCTGCTGTAATTCCTACTGCCACACAGAGGGAAACTGTATGCCTTGGAGTCTGGGGTTAGAGGAGTCAAAGAGATTGTGAATCCTCAGAGGTGCACATGTTGCCACTGGCTGGCTTTCCAGCAATGGGGATTCGAGCTGGTCTCTGACAAGGCAGCAAACCCAGAGCTGCTGCGCTGGGTAATGCTCTGAAGCGCTCTGTGCAATCAGGCTCTGTTGAGTTGCTGCAGCTCTTCTGTGTGCCAAGTGGTGTTTCTCTTTTGGATGGTTGTGGTGTTAAACGCTTCAGTAATAAAGAGGCTTTGTTGTGGTCTCTGAAGCATTGCTTTTGCCTTGGCCTTGGCTAGCAGCAGCCTTTTTGTTTGAATTAATGCTTTCCCTGGAGTTGGCTGTGGGGGCATGTGTGGGCTCGTGTGTGTGCTTTGACTTGTGGGTGTACACTGGACACAGCTGTGAACAGGTAGGTGCAGCACTTGCCCAAACTTGTTGTTCGTGCGTGCCAGAACAATGTGCTTTTCCTCACCTTTGGGAATGCTGGCCACTATTGTGGGCTTTTTAAAGTGCTTGAGTGAAATTAATAGCCACTTTTCAGCTACAGGCAGAAACTGGCTTGAATCTGTCCCAGTCCTGTATTTAATTCCAGGAAGTGTCAGCATTCTCTGCATCAAAGGAAGGACCAAGCCATACAGATCCTGGCCAGTCAGTGCTGTGGTGGGGGTACAACTGGCCAGGCAGTTCCCTCCTCATCATGCTGCAGGGCCTGGCTCACATGCATCAATGTACTGTATAATGCATGTGTGAAGGTCATACAATGACCTATTCCTTTGGAGCTTTTTATTTCCTTTGGCACAGGTATCCAGGTTAGTTCCACCTAAGTTTTGGGGTGATCTGTTCAGTCCCGCTACAGGCTGGTAATAGCAACTCGCCAGCTTTTCCTCATCTTCCTCCCATTTATGTCTCCAGGGTTAAAACTCAGTTCAGAATCCCCAGACCAAATTGAATTAGAATTTAACATTCAAAGATTGAGGCTCCCTTTAGGCTCTAAGGAACAGAATGTCATCCTGTCTCGCAGTTAATAGCTGCTGGGTAGTCGTTTCAAAGCCATTTCTTTTCAGTGAGCTCTACCATAGCAAATCCCAGCAGTGAATGTATTTCTGGCCTGGCTGTGCCTTTAATCCCACAGCTGAGTCTTATGTGTGATCTCTTTTGAACTGCTAGATTTTTTTTTTTTAAATTCCAGACAGCGATATTTCTAGAACTTGGCATTTCAAGTGGCAACAGGGTTGTTTATAGGAAGAGGACGGAAGGACGATGTTGACCTAGCAGCCCTACAAACCTACCGCACTTAATCCACTTATCACCCTGAATTCCTGGAGCAGATAAATGCTGATAACGGTTAAAACACATCACTGGCAGGAGCAGCATGTTCTGTCCTCTAGAAATACATCAATACTGGAAATTACAAAGCTGTGTGCTACCATGGGGATGAGCATGATATAAGAGCCGAGGAAGCCGTCACTAGTCAGAGGAGTTCTTCCACAGAAAGGTAGCGAGCCTCTGCTTCCTTCTCCCCTCTGCCCCAACTACCTTGAGATGCCGTTCAGGCCTGAGAAAGGCTTCTGAACACTGTTGTGACCCCAGAGCCACAGCTGCCCGATCTGTGCCTCCATATCTGAAATACCAAGTGGGCCCCAAGTGTCTTGTTACTGCTTTTGATTGTCGTTGCTGCTCAGCATTAAGACCTGTGAGGAGTGATTTCCAGCTGAGACCAGCCCCGTGCAGCTCACATCAGCATGTCTTGAGGAGAGGAGCTGGTTTTGGCTAATCTGAGATAAACCTTCCCTGGAGGAGTGCAGCTGCTGCACCGGCCTTGCAGAGCCACACAAAGACTTTCTCCTCTTCCCATCTGTCAGGGCTCTCGGCAAGGTACTGGAGCCATCCCTGGGCATAATGCAGCTGCATGCCTCCACCTGTGTCAAGACCCCTTCCTCCTGGAAGGAGGTGGTGTCCCTGGCAGAAGGTGTCCCAGGCTGAACGGGGGAAAAGTGCTGTAAACCAAAGGTTGTTTGGAGTAAACCTCGTTCCTACAAAGTCTGGAGGGATAAAACAACCGATAGTGCTTTTGAATACATGAAGCTTACAGGCTCATCTGCTGCTTTAGGTCTTTCCCTCCATGGCCATCACCCACCAGTCTCTGCAGAAGAGCACCCCATGTGAGTGGGCACCCTTGAAGCTGCAGCAGAGTGCTTTCTTGTGGACAGTGCAACAAGAAGTGTGAAAGGAGGAAGCTGCCTAAAGAGAAGTGAAGACCTTTCAGCCACAGGAGTTTTTATGAGTCAGATGCTGCTCAGCTGTTGCATTGCAGATGTCTTAGCTAAAAACAAGCATTCATTGAAAATCAAAGACTCTTCGTGAGTATAGGCGGCAGGAGCCTCCCACAAAACGTGGTTTTTCTTCTTCAAAGGGCTCTCCTTAGATTTGCCTACAATAGATTACTTAAAGCTTATCTGCGTTGTGAAGCTGATTCAGAGCCAGCATGGTGTGGGTCTGAAACAGCCCAGCTGTTTGGGATGAATTTGCTGTCTGGTTGTTCTCACTTTGTGAATGTGAGTGCCTTCCTCTGAAGGGATCTAATGGAGAAGTTGGCTGTGGAGAGCCATTTTGTGGAGTCAGGGGTACAGCAAACCCCTTGCTCTGTACTGACTACTCATGTGTACTGGTTTTCTGTGTTGAAGGTAAAACAGGTGATCCCATACTCAAGTTTTTATGCCACGGTGGAAGGTGATAAAGTGTGTTTTAAATGCTTGCGATATTTTATGGTCATCAGGAAGCAAAGCTCTGTGTGTTAAAGTGCTTGTGGTCTAGTCTTTAGACACCCGCTGGTAGATCTAACACCATCATTGTAGTACAGAGAAGTCAACCCTGGTGTGGGGAGGAGTCTGACCAAAAAGCAGAAGAGCTTGCATCTGCCAGGAACTGCTTGCCAAATGTGGTGTGTGTACATCCCGCCTTTCCCTTCACAAACAGGAGGGCATCAGCCAGCTGCCCTGGCATGAAATACCTGACAAACCCCCATCTCCTTTGCCTTTCGGATCTTTGTGTCTGGTTGTGTTCTTACAGCCTTTGACCCCCCCCCCGTCATGATCCCTAATCTAAAAGTCATCTTCCTGTTCCTTTGGTTGCTTCAGTGTGGAGGTAAACAAGTATTTTCTTTTTAATTCCTTTTGTTTACTCTCGTTTTTTCATATTAGAGCATTTCCAGCTGCTATCTTTTGCTAATTTCCAGAGATCCCCTCTAGGAATTTGCACGCTGCTGCTATTTCTGTCTTTTAAGCATTTCAAAGCTAAGAGAGTGAATCCTCAAGAAAGGGGGAACGTGGGAGAAGGGTTAGATAACCTAAATAAAATGGTTTGGCTTTTTCCTTGGTATGTTCATTTCAACCTAGTGGCTTCTGGGATAATACAAGAAGATGGATCTCTCCTCTCTTTTGTTACAGTAGTGCTTAGCTGTGTCTTATATAGAAACTATATTCATGTGTGTTCTGCTATGTAGGGATGAGAAGAAGGATGATGAATGATTTTGAAAAATATAGCCCAGAATAAACCACTTGGGTTATCACTCCCACAGTGTCTGTAGGATTTTGTTACCACCTTTCCATAATATCGTAACTATTGTACACAGGACTGAGCATGTTCCTGAGGACTATACTGTATCTGCTTTTACAGCCAAGAACCTTTCTCTGGTCTTGTAACCTAAGCTTTTTCTTACTGTCAGGCTGTTGTTTCTGGCTACGTGATCTGTAGAGAATTTTCCTTAACATATGGTACTTCCCGACAGTCCTTTCTGAGCAGAAGCTGTGCCCTCTCTCCATTGTTGTCTCCCACCACAAATCCTCAGTGCTCAGCATTCAGCAGTGCTAAGTCTGAGTTGCCTTTTCCAATGCCAGCTCCTGCTCTACTGAGGTGACGCTGCTGTTGTGATGCAGTGTTAGTCCATAGTGACAGAAAAGCAAGCCTGGCTGTGCTCTGGGACACCTTTAATACCTTGTTATGAGCCTGTTCATAGATGCAGAACTCTAGGGAATCCCATCAAAAGCATAAATGGAATGCCCATCCCCTACTTTCTCTCTCTACTCTTTTTTCCCCTCTTTTGTTTTCATGTCTCTGAAAAGAATCCTTCATTTTGTGAGAAGAATTGTAAGTTTCCAGTTCCCTTTCTCAAAGAGCCTCCTCTTAAGTTGCTTTATATGTGGTGTTATATCAGCTGACAAACAAATAGATCCAGACATTGATCCTGATATTGGACCCAGATTTTGCTGGGAACCAAAGGAGTCCTGTATCCCAGCCTCCTTACTAGCCTGTGGCCCACTCTTAGGTTTTTTTCCCTTTTATCAAACAAAACAGGGAGTGAACTGTGGTGTGGTTCCCCATTATATTTGTCCTCTCTTTTAACTTCTGACATCACTGTCTACTGAGTTACAGTGATAGATCACTTTAAACTGCCTTAAATGTTTTGGGAGGAAGCACATGAAGGGCATGCTCTCTCATCTCTGCCTAAGATACTGTCACATATAAATACCTAAGATCTGCAGTCATCTGCAGATAGTTCCTGTAGCTAACATTGTGCTTTGCTCCCATTTTAGAGCAGCAAAAGTTTGGAGTGATTAAGCTGTGGCTTATTTCTCATGGCCGTGGTGCTGGCCCCTATACGGAATATGCAATTTCCTTCCTCACTTGCTTTTCAAAAATACACAGTCCCACTGATAACACCTTCACTGCCTCAGAGCCATCACACAACCACACATAGATTCCCAAGCGGTCGTCATACCTTGGGAGTTTCAGGAGATGACCAGCTAGCATTTATCATGGAAAATCACTTTCTATTCACCTGCTGTAAATGCGTTCATACACCACTGCAAAATCAGTTCGCTTCCTGCTTCATTTCCTGTCTTTCTGCGTGCTGGCGTTGTATGGAGGAGCTCACAAGGGAAAAGGGGAAGCCTGTGAATGCAGCAGGCTATCGTGGATCAGACAGCAATTACCCAAGAGATGTGGCAGATCACACAGGGCACGTGCTCTGAATCACTCAGCTGACAAGGGCCAGCACTGCATGCTACAGGCAATTTCTGGTGTATGGTTATTTTCAGAGTGATCCTGTCTTCGGGGCAGCCATTCTCTCCTCACAGAAAGTGAGGTCAGGTGACTGCTAACAATTATTACCCTTACAGGGGGAAATGTCGATGTACGGCAGGAACCTCCAATCCAGGTTGCCCTGCTCAAGGAAGGAATAACCATCCCCTGTAAAGTCATCTTCCCTTATATGCCGAAATACACCAAATTTTCAATCTGCTATTACTGGATTAATGCACTGGATCAGAAGACATCTATCCACAGTTTTTCGAAAAATGTAGCCATTCCTCCTGGAGCAGAGAACACGACTGCTACCTTATTTTACAACTACACAGTCACACCACTTGAGAACACCTCTTCTACTGGCACATACTACTGCAAGGTCAAATGGAGTGATATCCAAAAAACGGGAAGGGGAGTGTTTGTCCTTGTTAGAGGTAAGTGAACAACCAGAAAGAAAGGGCAGGAGGTTAAAAATCAGCTGGATCTGACTATGAAAACCTGAACTTCGCTCTTCTTTTTCTCTGTCCACACATGCTATGAAGTCAGGTATGAATAATGCTTAATGCCCAATACTGACTGCCATCAGGGTTGAATGTACTTAGCACAGGTAACCTGCGCTGCTATTCCCAATGCATAGATGGGGACATGAAGAGGCAGTAATTCATATCTGCTCTTCCACAGCCTCCTGGGAGTCAGAATCTATCCAGGGAGCCTGAGCACTGGTGCTTTTAGGTGTCAGTGTTCAAGAGACAGTGTGTTTTGTCCTTCAGCAGTGTGAGAGAGGCAGCTGATAAGGTCAGTCATTAGGGTGCTTGCTGTAATCATGTGTGCAGGTTCAGCATGCTCAGTTTTAGGGACTCAGGAACAGGTTATGGCCTCACCGACATGCCTCCCTCTTTTCCATTTGGTACAAGGAGTTGGTTGGTCTGTTAATGAGCACACTGGAAAGCAGTGGAAAGCCTGATGCAACGTAAAAGGAACGTTAAAGAAAAGTGGTAGGGATCTGCATGCTGCTGACTGGCTGGATGTGCTTTACTGACTATTGGATATGAAGAACTTGTTAATGTAAATGCAAAGAGCTGTGATGAAGTAGCTTTGCTATACTGTACAGAGGATGCCTACGGTACCCATCTTCCCAGTTCATGTGGCTTGTGTGCATTCCACCATCTGTCTTCCTGCTCCTATCACAAAAGACCTTTGCCAACCTCTATCTACCAAATTTCTTGTCTCTCATAGTTATGTCACCTCCCTCTGTGAAGTGGAACTGCTTATACCCTGCATCTTCTGTGTGATTCTTCAGCTGCACCCTACTCTCTTCAGTCAGAGAATGTTTTGAAGGGTGTGTGCATTTTTGCCACCATATTCTATACTCCTGTATTTTGGTTTTCACAAGGCTCTTTCCAGGGTGAAAAATACAGCAGGGTTGTAACTTCCACTTGGACTGTGAACCTTCTGCCTTCTTTCTTACAGATACAGGATACATAAATACCTCTTATGGGTGGAAAATCCTTGTTACCCTTACTGTTCTTCTTGCAGTATTGAGCATCGCTGCAACAGCTCTGCTTCTGTGGAAAAGAAAGGCAAGTAATAACAAGCAATACCTGACCCATTCTAGGAATTAATTCCATTTGGAATTAGAGGTCGTCATGCTGAAATTTTCCATGCTGGGTGTCCGATCCAGTTTATTTTCTTAAGTTCAGTTTTTCTGAGAAGAAAGGATTACAGGAAAGACAAAATGAGTAAGTGATTTGCCCATTAAAGAAATTCTGGCAATCATTTTGACTACAGCATGCTCTGCTTTAGAGCAAGGTCAGGACAAGGATCCCAAGGAAGCCTGTGTGAAAATTACAAATAACTGGGAAAAAAAAATAGAGGGACAAGGATTGGACTATACAGTCTCTTCTCCAGGAATGGCTTCCATCAGCAGTGATTCTATGAGGCTGGAAGAATGAGGCTCAGGGGGTAAACTGGGACTGGAATCTGGAGTGAGGAAGCACTAAGGAGGTCTTAAGACTGGATTAACAGGTCCCCTTGGGTAAGCAGACTAGTGTCCCATGTTGGAACCAGCTGGGTCAAGGAAGTGGAATCTGGGAAGCTGAGAGCAAAGGGGATACCAGGGGTGGGGAAGAAAGGATTCAGAGGGCGAGAGAAGAAAAGCCAAAACCAGAGCTGGAAGATCTGGATAAGATGGACCCTGTAAAAGAGTCAGGATGCTGGAATCCCTGTTGTTTGGAGGAAACCTATTGCTTCTAGTACTGCCACCCTCAGGTGTTCCAATAGCATCATCTGCATTCTTCTGGAAGCCTCAAGGCTGGCTTAAAAATACCCTTACATCTTTTAGAATGGAATTTGGGATTGTTGTTTTCTAGGTGTAGTATGCCCCATAACTCCTCAAAGCTGCTCTCTGCCACTACAACAGCAGACGCTCTGCATGCTTTTTTGTGTGGAGGCTGTGCTCCTTCGACTCCAAGGAGCATCAGGCTTCAGCACACACAGTCAGAGATCATGAGGTTGAAAGCGGAATGGCAGTATTTGGCAGCCCAGCCAATCTCGTGAGACCTTGCAGGCAGTCTGATGTGGGGGAGGAGTGTAAGAGGCAAAGGGAGTCAGCTGGAGACAGGCCCCCATCCCTATTTGCCAAACAGTGTCTCTGTGGGGACGAGGAAAGGAGGCACTGTCACGACTCACCAATTGGCATGTCTGGGTTTTGAGGTGGACTAGTGAATCTCAGACTTATGGCCTCTCTTTGGGGTCTGAAGAGATTGTGCAGTCATTACATTTGCCCTCCTGCAGAACACAGCCCATATTTCTCACCACAGCTTGCTCAGACCTGCTGGTTTAAAAATGTTTATCTTTAAGAGAAGCTATTTAGCATCCTCCTTAGTTACTAATGGACTGGAAAGCAGTTTGTCGTTTTCATGTGATGTGAATATAATCATCCCACTTCTTTCTGAATTAGAACAGAGATACTTAGCAAAGCCTTCTGCCTTTTCTGCCTCTTCTCTTGCTTGCTGAGCAGGGCTAACCCTTCTCTGTGTGTGAATGGAATGTGTTCAAGGAGAACTCATCTGATACAAGAAACATTTCAGACGGAGGGACCTTCTTCCTTCAACTCCATGCTGGACTTGTATCACTGACTATATGTCACCATCAATGATTGTCTGGTGCTCTTTTGTAGACTCTGTGTATTAGGAAAAGCTTCCCTGCCAAATCCTGATAAAAATAATTGCATTTTGCCTCTCTGAAATTCCTCTCTCCACTATGGCCAGTGCCCTGCTTTACTCCCTGTCTTATTGCATTGTTTTGTGTTGCTCAGTAGTTAATACACCCTTCAGCCAGTAAGGTTTTGATGGTAAAAATGCTTTATATGTACACACAGAGCCCAGTTCTCCTTTGCACTGCTCCAGTGTAAGTCACTGGATTCTACACTTAACCATGCAGTGAGGAAAGTAACCAGCACATATTGTGCAGACACTGCCAGCACTCTTTCTTGTGGAAGCATTTGGGAGGTGTTTGAACAACTGGCTTTGATATGACTTTGGTGTTCATTTTAGCTTTGGGGACATGTGGTTTTCTCTAAATGTTTCATTTGGTGTCTTATCCTGAGCAGGTGTTGTGCCCTAGAAGGAGCCAGCCAAATATCTTGAGACAGAAGGTAGAAACACAGCTTCCTTCAGCCAGCCCACCACCGCCTCCTGTGTATGACGTGAGTACCACGATCACCCGTCATCTCTTCTGTCCACATCATGGTACAGCCCTTCCTTTCCCTGCCGTGGTACAGACAATGCCAGTATCATGATGTGAAACATAAGCAATACCTTCATACCACCTGGTCTTGGTGACCTTGCCCTGCTTAGCTTCTCTCAGGACTGGGTGTATTTCCATCCTGGTCCCAGTCATGGCCTTCCCAGTGCCCAAGCCTTGCCCCATGCCCTGCTGAGCAGCCCCTTTCCCTCTGCCAGCAGCACAGAGCAGCAAGTGTGGGGCCAGGGAGGGTTCCTGGTGGAAGAGGTAGAAGGGTCTCCAAAAGTCGGGAAAGAAGAGGGACTCTCATCCCCACCTTGTACTGGCAGAGTGTCACAAGGATATGCCCTTCCCAGTTGGAGAATGATGGCTCAGGAAAGGGGCAGAGGCATGATCCCCTGAACAACTCCCAGCTGTTTTGTTTCTGCTGTGGTACCTTCACTAGTGCCAGTGTCACAGACCACTGCAGTCCTGAGCAGGCACACTAGCTAGCAGGGGGAAATGGGCAAGGAGAAAGTAAAGGGAGTTTCTTTTTTTAAGCGTTTTCTTTTTCATTGTATAGGATCTCCTTTTCCATTTGCCAGACTTAGGAATGCTAACTGCTCCCACTCCTCGAGTCCAGTAGCTGCAGTATCATAGGTAGTGGGATTGAAGTGGCTCCACTGAAATGTCAGACCTAGACCTCAGCTGCCTCAAGTAACCATGACTCCTAATCCCATTTACAACCTGTCCAGCTCCATTTTAAATGGATTGCTTTTTCTCCTTTTACTCCCATGGGATGGCTGCTCCACTAAGAAGGGAAGAGTTTGTTATTTTTTTTCTTGTGATCTGTGGGGCCAATGAGGAGGAATAAAATGAAAGTGAGTAGAGAAGGATGTTGCCTGAATATTAGGAACCCTTTCTGTCTGTGAGGTCTATAAGGGCAGGAAAAGTCTCTCCAAGGAAAACCTGTGAGTTCTGCTGCATTAATCATTTAAACTAAACAAAGCAAAGCTCTGGAGAATGTACTACAGAGAGGAGCAAAGCTCTGCCAGGGAGGCAGGAGACCTGATTGGAGGCAGATACCTACAAGAGGATGGGCCTGCCCCTTCTCATTCTCACTGTGGGGGGTGGGGGAGGCAGTGGGGCACCATTTTGTCGTCCTTTAATCTTTGGAGTAACAGTTTAAAAGAGCACTATGTATTGTATATGATATGTTTATTATGGGCAAAAGGCAATGCTTTGGGTAAAGGAGGTTGCAGGTTATAAACCTTTTCATTTGTATCAAGTAATTTTAATTCAGGCTTATAAAAATTTGAATGGGTAGTTTCCTGCTGAAGTGGATGATTTCTGCAAGGAGACAAAAAAAAATCAAATCCATTTCTCGCTCAGTCGGCCTCGTCATGCATCCTTAGCTCCATCTTAATTACATGTTTCATCATGTTATTCTGTTCAGGCTCCACTAAGGCTAATATAGCAAGCCAGCAGAGCCAGCCTTAGGCACAGGCAATCCCAGGAGCTGGCTGGGCCCCTGTGTTTGCAGGAGCCCTATGGACCTGGCCCAAGCAGCCTTTCTTTGAAGCCTTTTAACCACACATCAGCTGTGCAGGGTTCCTGGCCAGCCCTGTGTGCAGGACAGGTGGCTTGGTCCTCTTTGGCAGGGCTGCATGCAGCCTGGGGCCATCTCCTGCATGCTGGGGGGTACGAGTCTGCCCAGGGGAGTTTTCCTCTGTTGTGGAGCAGCTGCTGCAGTAGGGGGGCTTGAAGCAGCAACTCCCAGTCCAGACAAGGCACAGGCTGAGAGCAGGGCTGTGATCTGGAGAGCAGCAAGCACAGCCCTGCAAGGTGTAATGGGCAGAGGAGGAGAGAGGGGGAGAACTCTGGGATGGAAACCTGCATTGGATGGGCCCTCAGGACAGATGAAGGGAATAGAAAGTTGACAAACCTGATTTCCTTTGAATGATAACTCTGGTGCCCCACAGCTAGTTTTTGTTGGGGCTCTGCGTGGTGTAAACTCAGCCCTGTAAACTATGTTTGAAACTAGGTGAGTTGTGAAAATCGATTGGTGGGTGTTGAACTCAATGCTTAATTCATGGGGAAGGAAAAAATCTGTGATCAGCATTGGGGTAATCTAAGGCAAGGAAAAAAAAGGAAGGACCAGTGAGAAGTAACTCCTAGTGATGAGACAAAGGAGGTCAGAGATCAGGGGCTGGACAGGAGGCCAGCACGTGTCAGCTGTGCTATCTATGTGGGAAAGCAAGAGGTTGGAGTCTGGAGGAAAGTGAGGCCAGGTTCTGAAGCTGGGGGCAGAAGGAAGAGGAGGCAGCACTGGGCATCAAAGTAGCAGATGCTGATGGAACTGGCTGGCACAGCTCATTAAATGGTCGGTGTTATCCTGCTTGGTAGAAAGGCTCATCCATGGTGTGGGAAGGGTTCTAACACCTTCTGTAAAACTGTCCTGCTGAACATTCCTGGGAGCAAATACCTTCCCCAGTGGCTCTTCCAGGTGCCACTATTTACTTTGCAATCCCTGGTGGTGGCTGTATGCTGTGAAAAGCATACAAAGTAGCAAAAAGCCTGGTAATAAGCGGGCAGCTGGGAACCCGATCTGTTTTCGCTGTACTGCCTTCCCTGACCTTTTAGTCCTCCTGCAGCCCTGGAGTAACTCTGCCTCACTGCACTGCCCAGATCCAAACCTGTATATCCTCTGACTTACAGCTTAGCTGCTTAGTTAATGAGCAGCTTGGAAATAACAATCTGAGGGACTTGCTTCATCTGCTTTACACTTCAAACAAGCTTTTTTGAGCAGCAAACAGAACTCCTGCAGTGCAGGTGCAGTCGGGTTCCAGAGCACAGGAGCTTTTCCAGATGTGAGGGAGACAGGAGGCTGCTCAGGGATAAGAAGGCATCTGTCAGCAGGGAGGAGAGTGGCCTGTGTGCCTCCACTGTGACTGTAGCAGGTGATCAGTGACCAAGTAAAAGTAATTAGCTTGCAAATGGTAGTTGGAGACAGCACCTCTCCAACTGTCTGGAAAAGGACCAGCATTGTTAACAGCCTCCATGGGAAGAAGGCTGTGGAGGGAAGGGCATTTTTTCTGGAGGTTAAACACCTTACTTGCAAGTGGCTTCAGACTGGAGTAGAGAAAGAGGCTGCCAATGGGACATGGAGCCGGGCTTCTGGAAGCCCAGCACACAAGATGATGTCCTCACTGTGAGCATCACAAAGAGAATTGAAAATGAATGTGGGGAAAGAGAATTTTCTGTGTGCACATGCAAATGGTGGAGATGTCTGAGTATGCAAAGAAGGTTTTTGGGAGCAGGAGACAGACAGGTGAAAGAATTTGACTTTTTCCAGAGTAGCAGTGGGAATGTGAGCCATGTGGTGCCCCTTTCACTGGGGCCAACTCATGTCTAAGTGCCTGTTTATTCCAAGGCCCACTCTCCAATGCTGCTCTATGCTCTGGTCCTGTTCAAAGCACTGTCCTGCTGGTCATGATCCTTAAAGATGCTGAGTGTTTACAGCTCTGCATGAAATGATGAGGGTTCAAGTGATTGGCAGCCCCCAATGAAGCCTCCATGTTTTGCTCATCCTTCTCACTGCATTACAGGGCGCCTCATTCTCTCTGCTAATACCATCTGCCCCTCTTGCAGCCGGAGCTCCTCCCATCTTCCTGTTGCCAGAGAAACAGCCACCTTGGCAACCTGCTGTCATCCTTGAAACACACATGGAAAAGTCCTCATGATTGTTATGTTTGATCCTTCAGGCAGATCTGGAATATCACTCAAACTGACATGCATCTCCTGTGACACGATTACCTGGGGGACAACGGGTGCATATTCATGCAGGGCGTGTGTATGTTTCTCTGTGTAGTTGAGTGGGATCATGGTAATGTTTGAGGGCGAGGGAGCATATGGATTTTTTTATTATTTGCTCCCTCAAAGAAGAAAGGAGAGTTCTGGCTTGGGAAAAAAACCCAACTGACAATAAACGGAAACTGTGTTCATTTTTTATAGCCTCTGTGCTTCAGGACCCCCAGCCTCTCCCGTTTTCTCCCCTTTGTGTCCCCAGAATAATCATGAGCAAGAGCTTGTGGTTGTCAGGCATCTAAACAGTCTTGGGTGATGCAAAGCACAGCCTCTTACCTGTGGTCCCCCTGGTGCACAACTTTGCATTCTGGGACAATTTTGGAGCAGAGGGAGGGAGGAGCATTGGCATTCTTTTCCACCACTTGCACAGGGTAGGTAACATCAAAGCCTGTCTCTGTAAGCCTGAAGAAAAGAAGACTATGCAGCTGTACTGTAGGGATTTCAGGGGAAAAGGATTTCCTGTTTGCCCAAGTTAAGGTCAGGAACTTCAAAATTTTGGAGATGGCAGGGGTTCCTAAAAAATATCAGGCATGAGATGGGGAACAACTGAGTTGGTAATTAGCTATATTAAACCGAAGTATTTTATTTGATGCCTACTTTCTTCTCTCTTCTCTGTGCAGAGCCTGGATGTGCAGCAAGTTGATGTCTATTCTAGCCTCGAGAACAACACAAACAACCCACCACATGGAAAGAATCTTCCAGGGAAGGTAAGGGCCAGGGCTGCGTTTTTGCGAAGTTCCCATATGCCCCGGGCACCTGAGGAAAGAAACTCCACATAATCTCATGACCTGGCAGGCAGTAAATGTGTCTCCAGTCCCACCAAAAAGAGAAACTGGGATGTGGCATGCACTCACCAGCTGGGCTGCACATGTAGCCTATCTTCTCTCTTCCAGCAGAACCGTGGCTCCTGCAGCTCCACCCGTTCTGGCACTCACGGTTTTGTACAGATGCTTTGCTGTATGACGTATGCTGAAAGGCACTGAGGGGTTTGGCATGACTGCTCCCTCTGAACAAGACAGGCATTCATGAAGAGTTGGGCAGGTGCTGGTCCTGTTATTGCCGTTTCCAGATTATTTAGGCAGCTGAGACATCCTCTGGGCTGAAGGAATCTCTGCACCAGCAGCAGACCCTGAACACAGCTTTCCTCTTACCAACATTAAGCACCTGAGAGCCATTTCATGGTAGCAGAAGCTAAGATGGTTTGAGCAGAGGCTGGGCTTATACAATCTCTGCTGTCAGCTCTGGTGCTCAGGAAAAGAGTGTGGGTATGTTTTGGACTTGGATCTTCTTGTTGGGCTGAGAATTATGAGTGAGAGACAAGGAACTAAATTCACTCATACTGAAAATAGAGACAACTAGGAATATGCAGGTGTAAATTAGTTGTGGGGGCCACATGAAGCAGACCAGAGGCCCACACAGCCTTCTACCCTGCCTTTGGCAGGCATCAGCTGTTTCATATGGACAGAACTTGCATCAGGGGCCCCAGGGAATGTTTTCTTCCCGTCTTCTGAATCTAATTTTTCTTTTCTTCTCCAGACCTCTTATCTGCTTAAAAAATGTATCCTCTTCCAATGCTAGAAAATGTTCCTGGAAAATATCTGCTGCTTTCTCCCATTAATGTTCTACTGGAGAGAGTTTCCCTGGTTGCACCAGCCCTCTCTTTCATAAAGAACAGTATTTTCCAGTGTCTGAGAAATTTTCACAACTCCCACGTTTTAGGAAAAGGTGGTCTAAAATCAAGCAGCCCCCTTTGTGTCACAGCTGCTTGTCATATGGTCTGGTCCCATGGCCACTGGCCTCCTGCAGTTACTGCTGTGTCACCACCATGGTGGTGGTACCAAAAGCAGTGGCAGGTTCCTGGTTATTGAGGGGAAGGATGGGTTGTTCTATCTAGGCTTGTCTTATATGATGCACTGGAAAAGACAGCATCCCTGCATTTGTATTTTGCTGCATTTTGAATTATTTGGATAGGGTTCCTCCTTCTGATCCTGTTTATTCTTCTATATACCTTTACCAGCTTCCCCCTCTGAAATTATTCAGTCTGGATGTTAAGATGAAGAATATGTGGGGTTTTTCCCTACCAGAGAGCTGTTTGGCCTGTGCTCAGTTGCTTGTGTGTGGCCCACACCGTTGAACTGCTGCTTGGAGGGACAGAGGGTCTCTAAAACAGAGCAGCAACAAAACAACAGCAGAGGAGCATTTGTGTGTGAGTGGGTCTGGTGCCAGCAGTCTTGACCAGGGTGGGGTAAAGGTCAAACCAGAGATGGGAGAAAGAGAGAGGATGGGATGAACTCTCACACTGAGAGCAGACAACTGCAAGTGCCCTCAGTTCTTGTGCTGGTCTGGAGGAAGGGAAGTGTGAGTGGCAGGATCCCATGAGCTCAGCACTGCAGAGTTTGCACTATGGTTGCAAGCACCTTGATCAGCTTCCCTCAGTCATCCTGGGCTGTGACCACTTGGGACACTTGTACCCCAGCTGTCTTTGCCAGAATACAAGAGAGTGTTTTCCCTAAGAATGAGACTTGTGGATCAGGGGATTTGGCCTGCAAGTGGGAGCTGAGACTGCTGAATGGTGGCTGGCTCTGTTTCAGAGGGTCCAGCCCAACCCTTGCTGCAGGGTGCTGCACAACTGAAGGGGAACTGTAAAGGAATCCGGGCAGAAAGCCCTGAAAAGAGCATTTGCATGCTGTCACTCTGGACCATTGGCCAGCTTGGATAGCAACGGGTTAATCCTGTATGCTTTGGAGGTGCCTCCACTCAACACTTCCATAGTGTTTCCCTTTGGTGGTGGCAACAGAGAAAATGCTAGTGTAGGTAGGGTTTAGTTCAGCCGGTGGCATTTTAGCTACTTGCTGTGTAACCTTGCTTACAGCAGGCCTGTGCCACACAGCACTTAAAATATCAGTCTGTCAGCACCTTGTCTACACAAGGAACGGTCGTGAGGAATAGACTCAACTGTTGAAGAAACAGGATTGAGGAGGTCAGGGAATTCCTCCTTCACAGAATCCAAAGTGATTTATTTTCTTACTGAGTCCAATTTTCCCTCCCCTCCCTGTCTGACAGGTTTTTTGGGGAAGAGTGACTAGTAAAGGAGGCATCTTTATCCCTTGGGCTGGATTAGTCACGTTCGTCACTGGTGAAGCAGCATTTCTCACTGTACTGGCTTCTGTTTCAGCAGATCACTTATAGCCATTTCTAACAGAACAAACGTCAGTGTCTGCTTATTAAGAATTAATTCATCATCTTTTGAATAATTTTCCTCCATTTCTTTTTTCTCCTTTTCATCATTCTGCAGACACCTAAGAAGCAAGAAACTCTAGAAGACTCCTCTGATACATTGTATGAGAATATCTAACAGGGAAGATATCTGTCCCTATGTGGACCAGACATCTTTCTGTATGGCAGAGCTACTCTCTTACATCCCAGATGAGATGCAGATACATGCAGAGATCCTCAGTGACTTCAGAGCACAACCACGAGGGAATTCTGAACCCCTGGCCCCTTCTAAACTGCCCTTCATTAACAACAGAATGTATCTGTTAAAATCCCTCGGGGCTCAGTCTGCATTGATGCAGCAAAGCTATTTTGCAGCAAAGCTGTTTGATGCAAAAGAAAAGCTGCTTTTGTCAAGCACTTATCTTGGGAATGGGCAATCTGTGAAGATTTCTCTCACCTGCCGCGGCTGAAATACTTAATTCTCAATCCTCTGCAAGTGGTAGGACAATCCAGAGACTTCCCTGGTTGCTGGCTTGATGTTCCAATCCTGACCTGCAGCCGCCCATCTGATCCTGTGCTCCTGGCTTTGCCGAAATGACCATCAGGACTTCATGCATAGTTTAACCACATCCAAGCATCCACCTGCCCATTTTCCCTTTCTCAGAGCCCACAGCAAACACGCTTTCTCATAATCTGCTAATCCCATCAAGTAGTCACAGATGCCTGCTGCGACCTTACTGATCGACTCAAATCGGTGCCTCCAAGGAAATGCTTCACTTCAGCAGTACCAGCAATACACGGTGAGGACTGGATGCACCGACGGAGATAAAGGCAGAGAAAAGGAACACTGAGAAAATATCCCTTCCTGACAACATGTGTGAGTGACAGTGCCCGTTCCAGGAAAAGAAAGGGGAACAAGGGCATGGGAACGTGAGGAAACTCCCTTGCTGGGGCTACATAAGCCAGGCGGGTCTGGGGCCACGTTCCAGCCCGCAGAAGTCCAAGTGGAGCTCCTTAGTTTTCTTTTCTTCTTGGTAAAGGGCACTTGGGATTTTTGAGCCTCTGTGGGAGCAGTCATGATACCTCTGCCCCATCAAAACCAATAGGTTTGCCTTTGTTTTAGCTTGCTGCTCTAAAGAGTATAAAGCTCCTTTATGCTCCCACCATACATTATTGGCTAGGGAGACCAGTTCTGAAACTTAGAACGACTGGAGGAAGGAGGAGGGAGGCCTTAGAAATGAATTTACCATCCTAGTTCTTTCTCCCCTGACAGCTGGAACTTGCCTACCATTTGTGCTGATGCATACTCTGGTTCTGATAGGGAAGAAGTTACATTAAATATCCGTATAACATGATCAAACCAGCAGATCAAAAAGCTGAGACTGTTTTATCTCATATTATAAAACAACAATGAAATAACAACCAAACAAAACCAACCCAAAATAAGAATATGCAGAATAACTTGAGAGGAATAGTAGAAACCTCTTTAAAGAAGAAGATCAAATTAAAATTGAGCTCCAGGGTCATAGGACCCTCTCAGGCTATGGAAAATGTCTCCGGGGCCTCCAACCTTCCTATACTATGTTTAAAGAGATAATCCGCTTATTGCTTTGCTCTTTTTATTAGAAAAGATTTCAAACATGTAATTTGGACTTACTTTAACCACAGAAAAATGCTTTTTCTCTTCCCAGTGCTGAGGAATTCATTTCAGAAAAGGCAGTGAATGGACAGCATGGCTTATTAGACTCATTTATGATTTGTTAAGTGATCACAACAATTACAAATATTTTTGAAGTAGAAAGTTTTAGATTTTACTGATATGGCCAGGAAATATTTGTGTTCACAGAGGAATTTACAGAGGATTGTAAAGGTATAACAATTTCTTTCCTTAACAAATTTGAAGAAATGATGAGATGAATTATAAATATGTTGCAGTATGGCAATAAAATATTCAGCAGATGCTGGTGGATTAGATGAAAAGTAAAAACTTTCAAAATAATGATGCTTAGGTTTTGTGTTTTGTTTTTTAAATTTTATAAATGCTAAAAATACTGGATGCTACTGGAAATTTCCTGGCAGGGATCTTTCTTTGCAGGGAGTTGATTTGTCTTCTGTTTCTGTTACCTTTTTAAGTAGCACGTTTCTTACATTTATGCCTGAACAACTCTATATATTAAAAAGCTGAAGCTGTTTAAAATAAAACATGAGAGCAAGAATAGTATTTGGAATGGAAAATGCTATTCTAGAACAGTCAGTGTTGAAGTACTGGGAGAATCACACCAGGTTCTGATCAATTAAGTGAAAAAGTAAAAATTTCTAAGAAACACTGGCAAGTGTGAAGATTTGGGCTGTGTGCCAAACTGTCAAAATCTGGATGGGGTTGCTGTGTTCATTTCAATCACTTTTGCGTTAGCCCTGTGAGGAAGGCTAAAAGGCTGCTGCATGAGGAAAAGGAAGTTTAAAGCTGTGAAGCCACAATCTAAAATCACTTCTTTAGCATCATGCACCATGGGCAGCCACAGCAGCAACAGTGTGTGTGAGAGAGAAAAGCATAAAGCAGAAGGCTGTGAGAGCAGGGATGTTTTTAAATGGTATGGGGTTTTCCAAGGTGGTATGAGGAAATGCCTGAAGGAACAGGTAGGAGAGACTATGAAATATGATTTATATAATATTGGTATAGCTACTTTGCAGCAGAGATTTTTTTCAGGGGAAAGGCAGTCATTTGATCTTTTTGTTGTCATTTGGTCTTTTTGTCTTACTTGGCTCTGTGGCCCATGAGAATAGGTGCAAAAAATGAATGCTACTAGCAAGAGGAAACACGTTCATTTCTAAGTGTTAGGTAATTGGGGAAAATTTAAAAAAGGAAATTATGGATCAGTTTCCCCAGCTCCACAAATGTGAGAAGCAATGACTGGCTTGTTGGGTTCACCCTATACATTTTGCTTTAAACTGAATGCTGAGAATGGATTCCTCCTAAAAACTGTGTCTCTAAGGGCCTCAGCTCCACTTGCTTCCCCCAGCATAGTGCTGTTATGCACAGAGCAGGCTTCCTGGTTATAGTGGTATAACCTTTGATTCCCAGGTGTTGAATTATTCTTTTCTATTGACAGGATTTCAGGGAAGTGGAGACCTATTATCAAAGGAAGCAGTGGTATGAGGTGGAAATGCACTGCCCGCCTTCTTCTAAAGGAGGTGCTGTATTAGGACTAGGATCCTTTGCCCTCTTCACCAGATAGGAGCCTTTAGTCCTGAGAATGTATTGCTACAAAGGGTGTTGGTGAGACTGAGGTAATCCGTTCCCTTTAAATGGACTCCTTCATAATGCTTTACAGCAAATCCTCATTTGAGAAGGCAAAAACCAGGGTGCACTTGAGAGGTCTGTTAATTTGTTCTTCCTGCACAGGACAAGCTCTTGCATGGGTACTGTTTTGTCATATGAAATAGAGCAAACTGTATTTTGCCTTTATCTGCAGACAAGACCTTGCTGTGGAGGATAACACCAGTGAAACACGTGTCCAAAGTGTTCTCCTTTATCACTTCTGTCTTCTCTTCTTTAGCCTTCTCAGGGGTGTCTGTACTTCAAATCATCTCTAAATACCCAGCTAGGACTGGTTCTTTATCAAGGGAAATGTTTGACTGAACAGCACCAAGAAGAATGATTACTATGGCTCTGGTTTGCACTGCTCTCCTACCCAGCAGTGCCCTACAGGTGTACGAGTCTGGGCCAAGGGCAGGGGTCTCTTGTTCCAGCTGGGCTGTCTCTTGGAAAGACTTGGTGTTCTTTCAGCTCTTGGCCATGCAATATTATGACCCCGTGAGACAAGGATTTAGGGAAGGCAGTGAGTGAAGCCACCAGATGGTGCCCTAGGTCCTCTCTGCTCTCTTTCCTGTCCCCTGCATGCCCACATGCCCCTGCCAGCTTCCCTGGTAACCCCCAGACCACAGACTCCCTGGGGGTGGGCAGCTACAGCCATGCAGAATATCCCCAGCCATGACTGCTGTCTACCCCTGGGGCTGGTGACTCTGACACTCCTCAGAAGTCTGTGCCTTGGCCCAGGTGCCACCAGCACCTGTGGAGAGATGGGGACAGGACAGGCTCCCCTCTTTTGCATCCATGACATCTGGAGCAATTGCTTCATCAGATACCAGTGTCTTGGCAAAGGACTGCCAATGCGAGGGACAGGAGAGTGGCTGCTGACACCATCACTGGGTCAGAGTGGCATCTGAAAGGCAAAATTAGCCAGAAGTTGGCGGCTGCTTGGAATTGCCACCACTTTCTTTCACCATTTGGAAATGGCATCTTATCTTGAGTTTAGGAAAATTTACTGTGTGTCTGTGGTGAAAAAAATCTTTGCACCATATGCTGTTTCTCTTCTTTACTGTCAGGAAACTGATGAAGATTCGGATATTGTTCTTTCTGTGTGTTTGGATTCTGTGAGGTCAAGATTTGCAATGCACAGTGAAGTATCATTGAGACTTTATAAAGAAAAAAGGAGCAGCTCAGCACCAGAGAAGAGAAGAATGTGAACCTTCAGTGTCTTCTCTTGCTTGATTCTCAGGCAACCCAGGCTCCACTTACTGTGAGGGATGAAATGTTTTTCTTAATAATGATTAAGTAGAAATGCAGATTACTATTAGTAACTAGTATGTCACTAGGTCCATCACTGTTAATAACTAGGCCTGTAAACTCCTGGAATGTGTTGCAAGCTGTGAATCTTCAATGTTCACAGCATCTGTGCATTACAGAGCTGCCACTACGCAGCTGCCTGGGGACAAAGTGTGATGGTGCTCTCACAATACCAGGCAGGTTCCTGTGGGAAGTGACACAGAGGAGAAGCTGCTTCTGAGGGACGGACTGTTTCAGCAGGAGGAGAAGGCTCCATTTCCAGGAGGGAACCTCTCCTAGAGCTCCTCTTTTCCTTCAATTTTCTGAAATATGTGGGTTGTGTTGTATCGCTCTGGGCCACATGAAAATTTGGATATTACAGCTGGTAGGGCCAGGCAGGTCAGCCACCCTGCTTTAAGGAGTTAGAACGTAATTATCCAAATTGGAACAGGGTGAACATGAAAAAGCTAACATATGGGCTTCTTCAAAACGTTATGTCTTTTAATAACCTGTCAGGGCCTCTGGTTTCTATCCCATCTGAAAGATTCATCTGCCTACAATTTTGTGCAATGATATCTGAGCACTTCCAGGGGTAATAATTGTATCCAAAATACCTGTGGCACAGTGAGCTTCCCTCCCTTGTGAGAGAATTAGTGCTGTAATGCCCATAATGGTGCTTTTGGCACTGACAAGTACTATTAAAATCAGAGGTTTCAGAGGTTCTTGCATGGATCAGTATATCATTGCAGCTTCATGCATGGAAAAAATGGAGACTCAGGAACCTAACTGACTTTTCCAAGACTGCAGAGCATCAGAGGTGAAGTTTGGAACAGAATTCAGGTTTCTGTGCTCTTCATTCTATCATGTTGTCCAGGAAGAAGCCAGTATCTGGGTAAGTAAGAGCTGCTGAACTACTTAGAGTTTAGGGAAAAAGGAAGTTTCTTCCTGAGTCACCAGCAGTGGGTTCTGAAGCACTTTATTTTTTCATTTTTGATTTCTCATACAGGTATCAATCAGACTCACATCTGCCTAGCTGAGGTAGCAAAGCTGCAGAAGTAGTTACTCCTCTCTTTTACAGAGGCATCCACCATTTTGGCATTAAGGAAAGCTCATCAGAACCAAATTACCATAGAAAGTCCAAGTTCATATGCCATAATTCGTAAATGTTTACAGAGGGAATATGCTCAGTTGTTGTTCATCCAGCCCATGAAGTCTTTCTGATTGCTGAAGAAGTTCTTGAACTCATGGAGAGGAAAGCAAATGACTGCAGCAAATGACTGAGTTGCAAAGGCTTTCTCCACTCCCAAGGAAGGGAGGCAGGGAAGTCCCTACCATCACAAAAATTAGGTGCTGGAGAAGGAGGTGTAAGGAGAAGTGATAATGCTGATAATTATGTGAGTGGAAATGCTTGCCATTCTTTTTAATGTTTAAAGGAAACCACAGTTTTGAAGTGATGTAATTCCTGCTCAGTTGGGTGTTTATTCAAGCAGTGCAGTGCAATGCTGTGCTGGCACATGAGGGGAGAGAAAGCAAAACTTCATCTTGGCTCCTGCTCTTGGGAATTCTGTACACTTTCAGATTCATTCAGGTAAAGGCAGGGTGTGAATCTGAAGTACACAGCTCTTCCAGCATTGCCCTCTGTACAGACTGGCCCTTTGCTAAGGAATATGCAGAACGTAGATGGGGGTTCTGACGGAACCACTTTAATAGAAAGAATTGTAACTGTTCTCCCCAAAAGATTTAAAATCTTGCTGTCCATAAAAATCAGGTTAGCTATTTTGGGTTCTTGCAGAGCTAAAATGAGCAGCATCTCTCATTTCCAGTCATGATAAGTCACTAGATATCAATTCTTAATTGCTTGATTAATCTTGAATTTTCAGAGCTGACAGTGCCTGTCCAAGCACTTAGACAAGGTCTACATGTAAAAGAAAGGAGAAAAATGCTTATTTTTTCTTACTTTTTTCCTTTTCTTTGAGTATGGTCTGCAAGGTAAGAGCATGAAATTACAGAGATTTGTAACATATGTTGTCCTGAGAAAGATGGGCCATTAAGCAGAGTGCAAATGAAACAGTCACAGGCTTGTGATAAGCTAGGAGAGGTGATGAATTAATTTTAGCATGTGCCTTAGCAATTCTTTACAAGATTATGTCAAGTATTAGTACACTTACATTTGCTGTATATTTGTGTGTGTTAGACCATGTTCTGCATTTACATAAATAAGCAGAAAAGTTTCTTTCATGAAGATCATGACATTTCTATGTAAAGACAATTTAAGGTCAACACTTATGGGGGAACTGTACCTCTGTGTGCTTTGTGTATGGATAATGATCACTGCACATGCCTCCCTAAAGGGTGGTGTTAAAAAAATACAGACCAAACTAAAAAAAAAA